TACATACATGCATACTTACATACATACATACATACATACATTCATACACATACCTACATTCATTCATACATTCATATATATATGCATAGGTATGTACATACATACATACATTCATTCATTCATACATACATACATACATTCATACATTCATAGATATATACATGCATACATACATACATGCATACCTACATTCATTCATACCTACATACATAAATACATAGGTATGTACGTACATGCATACATTCATACATGTATGTATGTACATGACTAGTACCCTACCACGCGCGCCAAGCATTTGTCCCCCGAGCGCCTCGAGCGGAATTCGCAAAATTTAGGCGTTTTTTCAAATTAAAATGTAACCCCTTAGCGTAATGGTATTTGGATGTTTAAAAGCGCGTTTTAATCGTTGAAATCTCAGCTACAACGTGGATGAAAATGAAACTTCTATTTCATCGCTTTCCTAATGAAAAATGGCGGGGAAGCTTCGGGCGCGTTTGCGAAATCTCGAGATCTCTGTCACGGGATCATCTCCGGGAACAATAATTTTGTGAGAATCTGCAGTATCATTAAAGATGATATCATGCAGAAACTGGACCAGATTGGCCGGCGCGTTCGGAAGTTATGGCCATTTAAGTGTTTTCACTTCAAGGGGGTGTAACTCCCCCTAGAGTGATCCTACAGGGGTTCAATGGGGGTGTTTTTTTATTGCCGAAGGATGCTCTCTCTCGTTCCCTGATTAGAAATATAAATTTCCTTCCGGAACTATTAGATCTCGAAATTTTCAAAAAGTTCAAAAATGCACTTTTTCACTCCAACCCCTGCCATTCGGCCATTTTGTATCCGATCGGGATAAAACCTTTACCATTCGAACGGGAAGGAAATTTCCTAAAAAACATATCTTTAGTTTTTTTAAATTGGTCATAGTTTCGTAGAGATACGCAAAAATTAAAGTGTTCCACTTCAATTGCGCATTACTGTATATAGGTTTAGTTGATACAATATTTATGATATTCACTGGATTGATATGCATTTTTGAATGAGTTCACAGTATTCAATACGTACTTAACACTGCACTCCTATAACTAGAAAAATTTAATGAACGGGAACCGTCAATACGAACTTAAATGTGGCAACAGACACTTTATATACAGCCTTATCTTTTACTGATATGTCGACATTTACTTCACAGATAGGATATCATGTAAAAATAAAACGTATTTTAAGAAGTCCACCTCATAGTTTGATAATGATAAGAACAGGTCATCAGTTCAAATCTATAAAATTTTTTGCGTTTGGGAAAAATAACTCTCCGATTTAATGACTTCTTGAGACGGAAAAAACGAATGTAGATTGATAACATTGAATTTTGAGTCGAAACAATTAATTTTATTATGACAAAATAGAGGAAAATGTATAAATTAACACGTCTTTTATGGAAATAAAATAAATTAAAAATTCTATATAATTTTCAACTTCATATTATTGCAGAGCACTGAAAAATGAATAACTCTGCTTTTTAAACTTTTGC